GGAGGGAGAACGACTTGAGAGTGTAAAACGCCTTCAACGTCGTGTCGGCAGTGACGGACCACGAAGCCTGAGTGATCGAAGTAAGTGAATGCTTGTCAACATCGGAGTGACGCTGAGAGTCCCTGATTGTCAGCAGCAGAGGATCGAGGAGAACTTCGGGATTCCCCCGGCCGTCTTCTTCAACTGCGCTCAGCTGCCAGGAGCGGAAAATCGACGATAGCAGACGATAACCATGCAGAGTAGTTGGAAGAATGAAATCCTCGTCAGGGTCAGTAGTCGGACACGATGGACAGATGATAGAGTATTCCGAGGCCGAGGTTATGAGAACCGAAATCGACAGAGAGAGGCTGATGCTCTTATCCACGGAATTGGCATGTGAGAGTTTCATCTTACACACACTTGTTGGTGGCCTCGCTGGGACATAGTCGGACGGTAGACGAAAGATAGTGAAAAAGGTTGATACTGTCGACGGCAGAAGACCGATAACGTCTGCAAAGAAGTCGCGAAGGATTGCGAAGAGACCGGTCGGTGTTGTCGAAGAGAGCTTGTCTCAAGATGCCGAGTCGGCAACGTTCCAGGAGCGGAAATGTGAGTGATCCATGAGCAGATACCGGACGTCTCTAATCGGTACAGTTCTCGATCACCGCAGACGACGAACGAGTACCGGAGTATGACGACGCAAAGTTGTCTGCCAAGATGAACCAGATCGTTACGGGGCTATGGTCAAGGCCTTCTGCTAGCCACTGACCCAGCCAAACTAAGGAACCGGCCGGATGAGAACTGTCGACAAAGAGGAAGCTGACGTCTCGATGGGTTTCCGTCGGAGAGCGAAGATGACGTACAACACCAAGATGAGAGGATTTTAACGTTCTGCTCCCTTCTCCAAAGCCTGTAGGTCAGAGGGTAACAGAGCACCTGTACAATCAGCATTCTGTCTGGAACAACGAATGAGTAGACGAAGTTGAACGTTGAACTCGAGAAAGAGGCCCAAGGGATCAAAGAGGGTTCCTCCACACCGGCGCAAGTCGGTGATGGACTTTAACGTGTCTGCTGAGCTCTTAACTGGTGGTAGGAGGAGGACATCGTCATGGGGTCTCCAGATCAGGCCAAAGCAAGGATGCGACATGGCGTTAACCCGGCAATACTCAGGCAGGGAGGAGACCAAGTTTTGAGGATTCTCCTCGAATCCTCGTCGAGCAAGGTGAGGTCGTAGCTGTGCATCAAGTGCTCGTAGGTCGGAAGAGGAGTCTGAACCGATCGTTATGTCGTCCACGAGGAACCGGCAGTGCTCATGAGGCTTCATACATCAGCAGCGATAGGCTCCTCACTAGGGCATGCGGGCTACAGGGACAGCCGAACAGGACCCTAGTGAAAGGATATGGGACATCTTCCCAGAAGAACGCCATACAATCTTGATCCCGAGGATCAGATAATTCAAGTTGAAGGAACGCTTGCCGTGGATCTAAGTTGCTGCACAAACGAAATCGACGTAGGATGCCCAGAGTCTGAACCACGCTCTGCTCGCATCCCGTAGGTAGGGCCGAGCGAACCAGGGTGGTTAACGGGGCACCATTGAAGACCGGTCGTAACTTCATCGAACTCCTATTCGCCGACCCGCTAGCGGTGCTGGAGGTCGACTTGGCTACAGGGAAGTGCGACGTCCAGTAGCGGACCTAACCAACCGTTGCTGGACGGATATAGCCACTGTCGAGTAAGCTCTTGGTCTCGTTGTCGTAAGTCGCGAACAGGCCCTGCCTCCTCAACTGGCCCGCGAGCGTCCGAGCGCGAGCCAGGAACGGACGATAGTTATTGGTAGGTGTTTTGGAAATCCATCGAATCTTGTGGGAGAATCTCACCGGTGCTGAGTCTGCCGATGAGCTCGCGGATACAGGAGACCTATGGAAATCACGGCGGTTCGCAGTAGAAGGAAGATGATGAAGAATCAGAGCGCGTGGATCGCTGAAGGCTACCTCAAGGAACTCGGACTCAAGAAACTGCTTGGCACACTCGGGAGCATCGTCTTCAATACTCAGAGCCAAACTGTTCAAGTCGTGCACCAGATCCGAAGATGTCTCTGTTCCTTGATTGGCAGACCCGGAGTAGGTCGCAGGCTCCATCTCCTCAAGAGGCATAGGATCGGGCGCATCAACTATACACTTTTGGAATTCTAAGAAACTTCGCCAGGCCTCGTGGACCGACGGAGGTTTCCCAACCAAACTCACGCATACGTCCTGCAGATAAGTCCGTAGCTACACCGGTGCTGTAGACTGAACCATGTCAACGAGCAGAGAAACCAAAATGTGGAGCTATCTGTTTACGACATGGTATGTAAGGTAACACATGTCCAGGCTCATCATAGAGGATTGTGGCCAGTTCCAAGAGCTCGGCTCTCCGAATAGATGAGACGTTTATGCTACGCAAACCCTTTCTTCGAGCAACAGATAAAATATCATAGGGATGCCCAAGTCGGTACTTGATAGGCTTGTATAGGAGCGACACCCAACTCAACCGACCAACCAATTTCTCCAAGACTGACACCTCTATACGTGAGCCGGTCGAACGTAATATACTAGTCATCTTCAATAATTCCTTCTCAGGTACTGAAATCTTGTGGACATTAGAATTCATATCGATTCGATATCCCAATACGCGCGCATTAGTGGAGAGTGCATGAACTTTGGAGAACTCTATCGGGACGCTCAACATCAGATAGATCAGTAGACTGAAGATCAAGGTAAATAACGGTTGGTTAGTTACAACGCAGATATCCTCAACATATGATAACGCTCGAGATGGAAAATCGATCTTCTCGTTGAACCCTTGGAGAGCAACAACAGCCAATCTACGCGTCACTCGAAACAAACAGCCCGCCCATCGACACCACCAGTATGGAGAGCTTACCATCCCGGATGGTAACAGCGAGTGTTGTAGATATCTTGGCTGCGTAGTATCACCGAGATATAAGGATTCATGAACGATAAATGGTATTGTTGATCGAAGCGCACAGGGATAAGTCGAAGGTTTGTTGTACGTCCCACTCCAGAACACACAAATTGGGTAGCAGTCCAAGGCCAGATACCACTGAACTTGAGGAAGTAGCTTCAGTAAGAGCAGCCATAACATCCACCAATCGTGGTAATGATATAGTGCAACCGATATTCCTCCTCAGTTGAGCATTAAGCCCAGATCGACGATAGTCATCAATCGGCCTTAAAGCCACACCCTCTCTGCCAGGCTTCCACAAAAGATGAACCTTGGTAAATGTCGTACACTCCTCTTCGGTGACTTCTTTATCACAACCAGTTTATAGTTCCATCCGTAGTAGATTTTTGTAAATCGGAATCATAGCCACATCTGGTCGAGACACCGGAAGATCCAACTCGGTATCTATCATACCTAATTTCTCACCTGGCCAACGACATTCGGACCGCCAACTCGCCAAGGAATAATGACCGTAATGGAGATGGTTTCTGAGCTGTGCGGAGCAAATCCAGCTGGTTCACCTGGCAGTGTGGTGAAGAACAAATTAAGGAAGAAACCTCGTTCGATAAGTTCTCAGCCACTTCAAATATGGATCCACGGGACCCTGGAGCCTGCCACTGTTGTGCCAAGGCTGTTTGGCCTTCACGATCTGCAGTCATGAAGCGCTGCAGGAACACCATGTTGTCGTCAATGTAGTCAACAGTAACTGTTTTAAGAGCTGTCACTATGTGAGAACATACCTGTTCTGCTGCAGGATGAGAGGCGAACAACCGAACCTGTCGTCGTTCCATACGTCTTTGCTGGTCTTTACGACTCTTTGCTTGTTTTGAGCAGACATGTGGCATCGGAACAACAGAAACGCCTAACTCCACTTCCCCGAGAGCCCCCAAAAAATGCAACTACTAATCAAGTAGGAGACGAATAGCAACCTCAGCACGATAGTTACACGACAAGTTGCACTGCTACTAGCAACTCGTTCGATAAAGGCAGAAACAAATCGAGACAACATACCTGGAGACCTCGTAGAGGTGTCATTACCCAATTAACCTTGCTTCCGAAATTTCAGAGATGGCTTGGCACTTGAAGTAGTAGTATCCACATTTCGCTTGCCTGACAACTTTGACCACGTTGACAGCGCTTCATAAAACGACAATTCTTATATGGACATGATTTTACCGTATACTTACACGTACACTCCCACTTCCCGTTCCGATCTTTAGTCAGATGGGGGCGGGACATTGCAGAGCTGGACGACCCAGAAGAGTAGGGGTCACTTAGATTGGTCTGTTGTACTTGACCTAATAGTTCAGGTTCAACATTCGTCGTCAGACAGTGGCAGAAAGCAGCAAAACTCGATAGATCCGTAGATCTATGATGAAGTTCGAGTTTCAGACTCCGCATATTAGCAAATAGACGGCGGCAATACTCTCTATCGAATTTCATCGCCGTGACGAATGAATATCGCTTGGCAATTGTAGATACTCGATAGAAATAAGACAATAATGGAAGAAGATTTGGCGTGACACTATTTTCTATTGCTACAATAGTTATACACCACTCAAATACCAAGGGTAATCATTCCTCAATAGATGATGGTAGTCTTCCCGACGAAAGTTTCATAGTTTGGACTACTATGCCCGAAGTGGTGAGACTCAAACCAGTACCCTGAGCCGACGACTGGCTCTCCGGGTAAACCTTGAATTCTATATGAACATACCTGCCTTTGCTTAGCTGTTCCACTGTATGCGGCGGAGGTAGTAGTTGGGATGGAGAAACTTGACCCCATACCGTAGTCACCTTGGCGGTCATAGTATAGTAATACTACCGGTACTCAAGCCGCAGCCAGTTCGTCGTGCGATGGCCCGAGTACAGTAGCCCATACGTCAGAGTTTGGTCATGATCCGAATCTCGGAGGTCTTCAGAAAGTACTTTTCGGAATTCTCTCCAACCCAAGTGATAATATTTTCATCGCGCGCTGGAACACCATGGAGAACCAAACTGCAGGCAGAATCAAAACTGTTGACTCACCGAGTCTTTCCCTCTAATCCCTTGTTAGTGTTGGACCAGAGCATGAAGTCTTACAATATTCTTATGTTTAACCAACCTTGAGAAGGGGGGCAGAGGGGCAGCTATAAGTAGTAGTGCATTAGCAATTTCTGCCAGCCACAACAATTTCGCGGTCAACTTGCCTCATGCCTATCGTACAATCTCACAGTACACAGCCTGAGTTTCTTGTGTCAGTGAGCGGAGATCGCATCCTGTATTCCAGTCAATGTGATGAAAACAGCGACCAAAAATACTCCGAAAGAGATCGCGTTTTGAAGAGTGTAGAATTACAGTAACAATTCTTGTGGAAAGCATTCAAGGATCGAGTCCACGGAAATAGTCTCCACATCGAACTGCGCATCACAGTCTTTTTCCTGTCGATCCTCCGCGAATGCTCACGTAGAAAGTGCAGAGATCTCGGAGTTGACTTACGAAAACATCGATCTCCGTCGGACCCTGGAATGAGAGCTTTGCGACACTGTTTTTCGACACTCAAGGCAAATGGCAACGCTTTTACTATTTTTGATCAACAAGGAACAACGGATGATATCCCTTGGATATCAGTTATGTGCGCGACCGTCGATCAAGCAATTAACTTCTGACACCAAGTTATCGTGCTTTACCAGTGTCGAGTCGACCCCAACCCGTGGTTGCTGTTCTATTAAAGACATCCGTAATCAACACGATCAATAAATCTACTGCTGAGATGGTATCAAACACCGCATTGCGGTAACCGGCGACTGCGCTTGCCGTGACCGCAAGCGACCGGACTGGATCCTGCCCCGCGTAGTTGGCTTCAGGAGCCTTGTTTCAGTTCCTTTGAGCTCGTTGGTTTTTCATTCCACGGCAAGAACAAGAAGGCAAACGTGGTATCAGATGTCACACGGTTGTCATCGGTGAAACGGCGCTCTCTGAGCTCGATCAGGTCTCGTCCACTCAGCCTGTGTCATTTCCGCTCTATATTTGTGATGATTCAGACGCTCGACACATATGGCTTAGGACATCCCGTGGTAGACAAGCAAGCTGTGTAAGCTGAAGGCAAAGCACATAGACGGCCAGCGGATGTTATGGCCCGTATTCGCCATCTGCGGCGCATCATCGGGGAATCCGTGATAGTGCTAGATGCAAATTTTGTGCAGCGGTCAAAGAGGTAAAGAGAGCAGCTGCCCGTAGATTCTTTAATGATCTGCAGCACTACTCTCGCGGTGTGAAACGAGGTTGCTCCCGTGTTCCTCCTGCGGCCATAATATGTCAACATCAAGTGAATCGAGCCGACTTAGTACTATCGCCGCGATCCGATCCAGTTCTAGTAGTTTCTCCTGTGAGCTCACAGAGATAGCCAACCAGCTGCGGAGAGGGGCGGCACCTGGTGCGGACAATAACACCAACAGTATCATTCTCAACACGCCCGAGGCGCTGGCGGACAACTGATGCGTCCAGTTCACGGGAATCTCTTGAGAATGGTATAGAACGCGTGGATGAAAATTATCTTCAGGGATTTTGATTCATAAGACCGGTAGAGACCCCGTCAAGCCAAACGATTGGAGGTCCATCTGCCTGGTCGGCTGCTAGCAAGCTATTCGAAAGACTTTCCGTTGAAAGGCAGCCGTCCAAAGGCTTGCGTTGTGCCCGCAGATCTGCGAACGACTAGACTCTCCCACCGTCGACGGGTTCTCCAAGAGCAAGTCGGCTAACACTGCTGTCCTACGCATGGTGGAAGCATTCATGACAGGCACAAAGAAAAGCAAACCGGCACCTATTGTGCTTATCTAATCGGATAAGTGCAAAACGGGTTAGGTTAATCAAGCATTTGAAAGCCCGGAGTGTTTCGGCACGCTACGGTTGTGACGAGGTCGACTTACAACTCGAAAGGAGAGCCTTACAAGGCAGTACCTTGAGCCTCTTCTTGCTCCTCCTAAGCACTCTGCCGCTTGTGAAGGATTTCGCAGCTCTGAGAGAGAATGGCATAAGGCCGACTCTCTATGGGAGTGATACAGCGATAATAGTAGCCGATGGTACTGGCCCGTCATTGGTTGAAAGGTGGCAATTAGCGGAGTCTCCACTGCTAGCGCGGCTATCAGATCCGGAGCGTCATATACGGTTA